GGGAAGATGCACTCTTTTTTTTTTTGTTCTTTCACCGCCTGATAGAGGAGTAGGTGGTGGGACAGCAGAGGAGTTGTCTCAACCATCTCTTTTCTAACGGTATTCTTAAGGAGTGAGCTGTTCTTTCAAAATTTCCCTTTTTTTTTTTTTTTTTTTTCAATTTCTCTGGTTCTGAAAGACTTTTTAAGGAAGGGTATCGTGTTAGGGTCGTGTGGAAAAAAAGGGAGTTAAATCTTTTTTTTTTTTTTTTTTTTTGGTAGTGCGCTTCTTGTTTTTTTTTTATTATCGTTTTGAGCAAAGTCTCCATCGCGCGTCGATTTGTTCGTTGTCGCTTTGTGTGGTCCAACATCGGGTCCGGGTAGAGAACCCTGTTTTCCCTTGGGTCGTTTTTTTCCTCCTTTTTTTGTCTTTTCTGGTTGGGTCGTTTTTTTCCTCCTTTTTTTGTCTTTTCTTGGGGGGTGGGTCTTTTTCGGTCTCTCTTTCCCCCCTTTTTTGTCTTGATTTTTTTTGGGGGGGTGCGTGTCTTTTTTTTTCCGCCTTTCCTTTGGAGGGGTCTTTTCGGTCTTGCCCCCCCCCCCTTCCCCCCCCTCCCCCTCTCCTTCTCCCTGCTCTCTGTGGCATCTCCGTCGCTCAAACAAGAAATCATGTGTGTGTTTGGATGGTCCATCCAGACTCCTTCCGTTTTATTCATTTATTATTATTATTTTATTGTATGAATTTATGAAAGAACACATTCTACGTCGCATTTTCTCTGCTTTTTAATTGCCACTTGAGCGTCGACGATCAACTCTCCTCCTCCTCCTCCTCCTCCTCCTCCTCCTCCTTCCTCCACTCCTCCTCCTCCTCCTTCCTCCAGTCCTCCTTCTAGTCCTCCTCCTCCTCCTCCTTTTCTTCCTCGTTGTTCTCTCTCTTCGTCTCTCTCCTCCCCCCGCTTCCCAGTTCTCGACGACACGAAAGGAGCGAATGGCGGTGTTGGCCGAGCGCGCGTGGATGGGTTGGGATCTCTACGACACGTGGCAGCTTGTCTTCCTTCGAAAGGGAAATCGGGATCGAACGGAAGATGGAGCCAACCCTTGGCTGCGATGGTGGAGCAGCTTCGTTATGGTGGCGGTGACCAGTGGCATCGGGATACTGACGCTGACGTGGCCTTGGTGCCAGCATTGGCGATGGCGATGGCTGTCCACGTTTCATCCGCAGCGCTGGCATCTTGTCGTCCTCCCAGTTTCGTCCGCCATAGCCAGTTCCTTCTCCTCGTTCCAGACTAGAATTGCCAGTGGACTCGGCGGCTTCGGGTTTTCTTGCGCGCGATTGCCACGTGTATTGCGGACTCTCCTTTCTAGGTAAGATCATCATCGCGAATGAATCATAGCCAATTACGCCCGCGATCCATCCATCCATCCATCCATCCATCGAAACAATAAAGTCCATCCATCAATGAAGCTATCAGTCAATCAATCAATCGAATCAATCAATCGAATCAATCAAGTCCATTCATCAATGAAGCTATCAGTCTATCAATCCAATCAAATCATCATCAATCAATCAATAAATTAATCAAATCCATTCCGTCGATCCATCGATCAACCAATCAATCAATCAATGAATCAGTCAATGAATTAATCAACAATCAATCAATCCATCCAGTCGATCAATCAGTCAATCCAATTCATCAAGTAATCAGATAATAAATTAATCGGGTAGTTAATCATTATGTGAGTATTGAGGATATGATGAAGTGTCCGATCAGCTGTGAGTCTGTGGTCGGTCATATTGATTTTTTTTTTTTTTTCAATCCGTAAATCATGCCGTTGCTCTTTGTTACAATCGATCAGTTCATCCATCGATTAGGGAATATAAGATTATCAATCAAAGAAAGCAATCGGAAGAAACATCGATCGGTCGATCAATCAACGATCAATCAACGATCAATCAATGATCAATCAACGATCAATCAGCTGGTCAAAATTCCGTGGATGAAACGATTACTTTTTGACCAATTAATGTACTAATTATTAACAGAGAGGGGCATGACGGGCGTTTGTTTTCTTACCATTATATTATATTATAGTATACTGTTAGTCTGTTAACAGTAATATATTACTTTTTTGTTGTTATGAATTATTTATCTTACTTGTATTTATTGAAAATTATTATTCATTTCCCCCAATTGGTCGTTGATCGGCTTTTTTGCGACCGTAATGTCTTTACTGGGATGGATTACGTTTTTCCTGAAGTCTGGATGAAATTCCACGATTGCCAGTCAAGCGATCGGATCTACTTCAGTTTGACAATTGTAACCCCCGTCTGAATGTACCTGGACGGAAATTATGTATAGGTTCGTGTTGCTATGTTGTTGTTGATGATGATGATGATTATGGTGATGATGATGATGATGATGAGGAGGAGGAGGAGGACGATGAAGTATATGATGGTGATGATGATTACGAATCGACAACGATGATGGTGATGAAGATGATGTGGCCATGGCGGCGCAGCCGTAGAGAAGAGAGGATCTTCACGAAGATGGAGAAGATGATGATGGTGATGATGATGATGATGATCAACCCCGAATATTGTCGAAGATGAGGTTAGGGACCATGTAGTGGCACAGAACAGAGGATCGTCAAGATGTCGATGATGATGGTGACAATTCACTCCGATTATGCCGAAGATGAGGCAATGATGATGAAGTTGATGATGATGATGATGATGATGATGATGATGATGAAGAAGTTGATGATGATGATGATGATGATGATGATGATGACAATCAACTCCGATTATGCCGAAGATGAGGCAACGATGATGAAGTTGATGATGACGAGTGATGATGACGATGATGAGGTGGTGGTAGAAGATGATGATGGTAACCGAAGGCACCGGCTATATACCGGCTTCACCCGAAATAGGACGCCCGGTCCGTATATCTGTATTTGGCTCGACTTTCAGTCCACATACATACAGCGATAATCACAGGGCGTTATATTCGGGGTGAAGACTGTAGACGTCGCAGGTGCGTTATCTGCAATGTTCACCCTATAAAAAAAAAGGGAAAAAACCGAAAAAAAAAAAAGAGTGAAAAAAAAAGTCGCACCCACCCCTACAGCCATTCCCTTGGGTGAGAAGAGGAAATCCCTCCGCAGCGATTTTCTTCATTTCTGTTTTTTTTTTNTTTTTTTTTTTTTTTTTTTTTTTTTTTCTTGTTTACGAAATGAAGGGGTCATTTGAAAGGGCCCCGTGTTTAATCAAGGCTGCATACCACAAGAAATAAGAGGGGCGGACGACCTTTTTTTTTTTTTTTTCAGAATCTACGAGTTTTTGCAATCAATAAGTAAATCCCAAGGCGAGAGGTCCCACGAGCACAGAGGATTAGATTGAACGCCTGAATGTGGACGTGTTTATGGAGATGTGCAGAAAATCGCGATTGACCTGCTTTTTGCATCTTTGCTTAAGACACGTCCAGATTCAAGGCTCTTCATCCAATTCTCTTTGCTAGGTAGTGGGTAATCCAATCCAATTCTCTTTGCGGTCGTTGGACCTCGCCCTCCCCTTTTTGAGTTTCGGACCGCCCCCGCTCCTGGCGCCTGTTGTCGAGCTTCCCCTATTAACCAGCTTTTTTTTTTTTTTCTTCTTTTTCTTTCTTACTTCTTTTCTTTTTCCTCTTTCTTTCTTTCTTTCTTTCTTTTTTTCTTTCTCTTTGTTTATATTTTCCCAAACAAACCAATTCAATTCATATATTATAATCCAATTCTTTTTCATCTCGTTTCTTTTTTATTTTATCACTTTTAAAGCGTGTCATCCTTGCGTACTGCAAGAAGAAGAAGAATAGCATAGACTGCACAGTATACGCAGCACAGCACACGACCGAAAGGTCAAAGAAGCCGTATCATCGTACAACATCATTATCTCTGAAAAAATTGATACACGGCTTCTTTGACCTTTCGGTCATATACGGCTTCTTTGACCTTTCGGTGGTGTGCTGTGCTGCGTATACTGTGCAGTCTATGCTATTCTTCTTCTTCTACATGAGCAAAAGACAAAAAAATATGGTTGTGCATCTTCCCATTTTCTAGGGAAAGATTCATTCTCATTTTGCACATTTGGTTAGTACCCGAGCGCGGCCCCCTGTCAGAATGGGACATCGAGCGCCGGAGTTCCAGTTCCACTACGGTAGCAAAGAGGATTGCATCGAGCGCCTGAATCTGGACGTGTTTCAGTCGCGGGACTCTGCATCTAGCGCCGAATCTGGACGTGTTTCACCAACGGGAGCCACGGCGAGTGGACGTCTGCATCGAACTGTTCAGTTCAGGGGTGTACCAACTCAGCTACCTTTTTCCCCCGAATACAACGTACGGTTATTATAACTGTGTATTTGGAGCATCTTTCAGTCTAAATACAGCCATAATGACCGTACGTTGTATTCGGGGGAAGAAGGTAGGTCCGTTGGTGGCAGTGCAATTTCGAACCAGGACGGCCCTTTTCCTTTCCTTTTTTTTTTTTCCCCGGCGGTGTCTGTGCGCACAGGTGAATTGTGCCTAATTAAAAGAAAAAAGAAAGAACGGAGTTGAACTTTATTAAAAGGAAAAGAAAAGGAATTGCACTTAAAAAAAAGAAAAAGAAAAGAAAAGGAATTGCGCCTTGTAAAAAATAAAAAGTAATTGCGCCTGATTCCTCCTACTACCCCGCTAGTGGGCCACACTCCTGTGCGACTGCTAATGTCCCGAAGGACTTCTGGAATAAACTTCACTTCTGTCACCACTGATCCTGACACCCTCCATCTCCATATGCTCCGTGATTGAAGGAGGGCGGGCTCCACCCAATGAGATAATTTCTCAACAGCAAGTACAAGTACAATAGTGAAAATCTTCTATCCAGTGGGCCTAAGGCCAACCCCACCCTTCTTTGGTGTTGGCCACACCCCCAACCGGGGGCCAAGTCCCACCAGCCGCGTTGAGCTACCTCAACGCCTGAATCTGGACGTATTTGTGGAGACGTGCAGTTCAGGAAACTCGACACCATTTCTGCACATCTCCGCAAAAGCGTCCACATTCAGGCGTTGAGGTAGCTCCACGCTGCTAGTGGGACATGGGCCCCGGGGTTGAAAAGATTCTGGCGGGAAGAAAAAACTTTCTTTGCACGGGCATGCCCAGTGTGTGTTAAGGAGAGAAGGAGAAGGGGACCAAAAAAAAAGATCTCCTTACTTTTTAGGGTAATACATGTTAAAAAAATAAAATAAAAATAAATACTGACCGTGGGATCAATCACACCAGTAGTGCACGGCAGGATTTGGGTCGCACTCAACTGCCCCACAAACTCGTTTCTATCCGATCCCGTTGCTAGTGGGTAGTGGGACCTCGCCCCTTGTGACCCGTCAGGGAACTGGCCCAAGAATTCCGTGACGGGCCCAAAATTATTGCTTGTGACCCGTCAGGGAACTGGCCCAAGAATTCCGTGACGGGCCCAAAATTATTGCTTGCGACCCGTGAGCGAGACGCGCTTCAACGGGTTCATTAATTAAATCTGTAATTTGTAATTTGTTTCGAGAGAGATTATTATTATTATTAATATTATTATTATTATTTTTTAATTTGGACCATTTCTCGATTTATGCGTGTCATCCTTGCGCAGTATTCTACGACGTGTGACACAGTCTTATGTTTTTTTGGAAAATACAAAGTGATTTAAAAAAAAAATTATTATTATTCTTATTTTTATTTTTTTTTCGTTTTCTGATTTAAACTGAAATTGAAATAGCGCATAAAACTATGAAGAACAGCTGTGCACCCGAATTCATGGGTTGGTACGATCTCCTTCACGTAAGTCTTCATACTGATGTACCGTGGCAATAAAATGTGTCCACGAACACAGCCACGAGGATGAACATGTAATCGCTATAGGGATACATTCATCCCCATGTATCTCATGATGCCTCTAACAGGCCATCCGACAGACGCGGCAGCGTTCCTGTCAGATGCACCACAATATTCGAATTTCACATTTCAAGTTCTATTTCTCAGAGCCAAAAAAAAAAAAAAACGAAGTCTGGAAATCACCCCCCCACCTTTAGAGCCCATAAAATCCAGACTTCCCGCCCACGCAAAGCCACGAGCTATCATGTCCAAGTTAGTCCAACCTTTTTTT